AACTGTTCCGAACAGAGTTGAGCACACAGAAAGTGCAGCATAAATGTTTGCTATTCTTATCGTCACCTTATCTCATTCGATGAAATGCCAACGCTTGTGTTCATCTCTCAGAGTGAGAAAATCAAGGCTTAAAGAGGTCAATAATTTGCCCGAGGCCAGTGGTGAGTATTTTTGGCAGGTTGGCTGCTTTATCAGCTCTCACTGTGATCAGGCAGCCTGGTTCCTTTCTGCTGTCTTCCTTGCCATCTTCAGGGGATCGGCTGTCACGCTGGACAAGCTTCTCACCTCATAGTCACAGGGTTGCTGCGAAAGTCAAACCTGTCCTAGAAGTGGCCTCTGCACATTTCCCCGCGTGTCTCATCATTCGCCGTTGAGCCACATGCCCACCCTGAAGCGATCCCAGGTTCCAGAGAGAAAACCAATGTGAGCACACAAGTACATTTAAAATGCAGTCCTAAAAAAATCAGAGATCTGCCCGCAAGGAAGAAGAGGTGGTGGGGCTTGGAAGGTATGCAACCATGGCTGAGACAGCAGGAGCCAGGCTGGAACTCCAGGCTCTAAAGGTTCTACTCAACCTCGAAGGTTCCGCTTTCCATTGCGATGAAAGCATTCCAGGTCTGCACTGCCCAGCTTGGCAGCCGCAGCCTCACACAGCCTCACATGACCACTGAGCACCTGAAATACAGTTCATATGCTAAGAAAGTCCATTTAATTGTTTAACTTCAATTTACTTAAATTAAAAGAGCCACAGGGTCCACACAGTGGCTCCTGTATTGACAGCACAGGGCCAGCTTGTTAGTGGCATCATTTATTACCTTGGGTAGCATTTCTATGGGAACAGCCATGTCCTGTAGGTCTATACTGCTGTAGAAATAGAATGTGTGATGTAAACAGAACTTAAAATTCTAAGTAGCCACGATTACAAAAAAAAAAGAGAGAAATAAGTAAAATTCATTTTATAATATGCTTTATTTTATCTCTATTTCCAAAACATTATCATCTCAACATGTAAGAAATACAAGAAGCATGAATGGGATATGTTGCATTCTTTTGTTCATCATAAGTGTTTGAAATCCCTTGTGCATCGGACAGAGCGCCTGACTATTTGAACTCACCGTATTTCCAGCACTGCATAGCCCATGTGGCCAGCACTGGTTTAGAGATTTCAGAAAGCATTCATGGAAAACACTCTTTCCTGATCCTCATTCACTACCCTGGGGAGTGGCCAGATGAGGAAGCAAGGCCTAGAAGGGCCCAGCCAGTGGCTCTCACACTCTGTTCGTCCGAGTCCCTCCAGGGCAGGTTCACTCACAGACGGCTGGGCGCCGCCCCTGCATTTGCCATCCAGCAGGTCTGGGCAGGCGCAAGGATGCACGTTCCTAACAGGGGAGGCTGATGCTGCCAGCGCAGGGCCATGTTTTGAGAAGCATTGCTCCAAGGGTTCCACCCATGCTCACACCCCAGTAAGAACATGGCTCAGAACTGAAATCCTTGCTTTCCGTCTTCCATCTCATTCTCTATTTGCACAGACCTAAGGCCAGATTGCTAGGACAGTCTGAAAACAGCTACCAAAGAACAGGGGTGCCGCTCACAGTTACCCCAATGTGCTCCAGACGATGACAGCAGGGTCTACCTAACTTGGATACTTTGAAGGATTGGACCAATGTGACCTATCCCAGACCTGTGCCTTTCTCTGGCTGACTTTTTTTTTTTTTATCTCATATGATTTTGGGTTCCATTTCTTTAAAAAAAAAATCATTGGATGAAATCTTAAGGAAGCCCTCACCTTGATATTTGGTGTAACAGTTGAGTCTTCGAGGTAGAGCTGGGGGCTCTGTCATTGCAATGTCTAGGATGTCCCTGGCGTTCAGGTGGAAATCCGAAGACATTTGCCCAATCCACAGAAGCGACTTCAGACAAGGTCCTGCACTTAGCCCTGGGTAAATCATGCTTTTAATATGCTCAATGGCAGAACTGCTCAAAGCCATTCTGAGCTGCTGAGAGCACTTCAGATTATTTTCCACACCAGCAGGTGACAGAAGTGGTTCTCAGGGACTGCTGTCATTCTGCTGAGAGCCAAGACTCCTCTTGGTGCACTGTGATTTGCAGGGAAAGCTGTGACCTGTGGGCCAGAGGCGCTGAAAGGTTGCTTGTGGTTGCAGGTACCTCCAAGCTTGAGCAGTAGTTTTGAAGTATGGAGATGGGAGGCGAGTTATTGACACCTTTAACAAAGGAGCTGCTGCTTCTGGCTTTGAGAGGGGCTGAGAGGCCCCTGGTTCACCATCTCATCACTGGGCTGGAAGCTGCACAGGGCCCAGCTGGGCCTGCAGGCAGTGCTTCAGCACCTGGAGGAGCTGGTCCCTTACACTCAGCCTATCTTTGGCTCCATGCCACTCTCGACAATGCGCAGGAGAGCCACTTGGGTCTGACGCTGGAATTTAATCAGCAGGTAAGGAACAGGCCCCAGTGTGTCCTGGGCCAAAGGACGAGACGGGTGTGCTGAAAAGCAGCTCAAAAACAGACTTCGCTTTCCTGTGTTTTAACTCAGCGTGAACGTTTCTCTAGGCCTCCTCTCCTGTGGGAGGAAGGTAGTGGCTGCATCCTGTTCCGGTGCTTCTTTAGTGTCCTGGGCACCCCGATGCCCCAGCCTCTTCCTGTCCCGGGACCCCCAGGCCGCCCTTCAGCGGTCTCCAGCTTCCAGCCTCTGAGCAGGAGCCTCTTTCTGGCTTTCCTGATGTTTCTCCTGACCTCTTCCGCTGGCGCTTCTGAAGGCACAGTAATATCTGTACATCGTAATTGGTTCCCAGGCTGCTGCCTCTCTGTCTCTCCATCGAATTAAATGTTGCATTCGTGCACTTTAGAAGTACCATGGACCTTTCAAAATATGCAGATGCCTGGGCACCACTCCAGATTAATAAGTCAGAGTCCCTGAAGACAGAGCCCAGATATCCATATGTGAGGCTTTCAGGTAATCCCAGGATGCAGCCTGTCCTGGAAAGCTCTAGATTGAGGTTGAAGCCCCCATGCTGCAGAGGGGCCCTATAACACAGGGAAGTGAGTTCCTGGAAGCACTAGCTGTGTACCACATAGGGCTAATAACCATGGGGACAGTCACGCATGCTTCTCTTCTTAGATGCTAGCTTAGCATGCTTGGAGGCATACCCACGTGTATGGAGAGAGGGGGGCAGAATTGGGAAGTGTTAGGAGAAAAACCTAAAGTAGACACGGGAAAGATTCCAGGGACTCACACCTGAGTCAGGGGAAGAAGAAATACTTTCTCAGGAAAGGGAAGGGGCTGAGCGTTCAATGGGCAGGGGGACAGCAGAAGAGAAGAGACCAAAAGGACAAGACCGCCCCCAGCACCTCCACACTGGGCCCTGGAGGGGCTGTCTGCAGAGAAGCCACCTAAGGGTCTTACCAAGACTGGGATTAAAGGTGAAAGCTCCTATACTCCTCTTCCCTCCTAAATCTGAGGTTGCCCTTGTTCCTTTCCACCAAAGGATGGTGCCATGTAGAATGACAAAGGTGTCATCTCCTTCCTCTTTCTAAGGGAAGGGACTCTCTCTTAGGGACAAAGAGGAAAGGACAGACCAACCTATGGAGTGGAGGAGTGCTAGACCATATCCTCCCAACACTTCTATTTCTGAGGACAGCTGTTGAGGTCAGCTATGGGGCTGCACTGGTGCTGATTGGGCCCATGCTCCCATTCCACGTCTGGATAAACAGCAGTCAGCAATCCACCGCCCACTTCCACCCTTGGAAAGGCCTCCCCCAGTTGCATCCTGACTGCCGACTCTCCGTCGCTGTCCCAGCCACCCAGCTGAGAGCTGAGACCTCACCCCCCAGGTGGCCAGTTCTGGACCCACCAAAGGCCTTTCTGGCTGGCTGGGGATTAAAGGGGGCCACCACCCCACAGAGATGGGGCCAAAGACAGCCAGGCTCCTGAAAGGCAGCGCTACTTTGAGAATAACTTTCCCAGGCCAATCCCCACTTCAGGACTTTGCTGCGCCCTGTGCTAGCTAGTGGGACTAAGGCTGGAGCTGTCAGCTGCTTATGGGTGTCTTGCCAGGGGTGAGTGAAGTCACTGTCTCTTGAGTTTAGAGGGAGAATGGGAATCCCAGGCTGGAACTCCCTTCTTTCCCGACCTCTCGACCACTGCCCTCCTCAGGCACATTTCAGAGGCCAGGGATGGAGACCCGCGAACAGTGACTGAACCAGGGTGCAGGGTGAGGGTTCTGAGAACCCGCTCCTGCAGCCGCTGCCAGTTCCCGAGCGAGCTAGCACAACAGGCTTGGCCTTCTTTGGTGGCATCGCTGCCTCCGCCTGTCTGACTCCATTCCCTGCGCCCACCTCACTTAACTGCTCAGAGATAGAAGTTAACGAGGTCCGGCATCTGCAGTTGTTCAGGGTGAATTGGGGAGGGGGAAGGGAGTGGGGAGCGGTGGGGAAAACTGGACATCCTGACAGACCTGGAATTCACCTGGACGTCAGTGGAAGCCTCAGGTCTGCCTTTATAAAATGGACTTAGCCATAGGCCAGGATTAAAGGGCAGGTGAGGGGACGCAGAGTACAAGGCTAGTGGCTCCGAGCTTCTGGGTGGTCCCTGGCCAATGCCGGCCACCTCTTTACCCAAAGGGAGGACTCCAGGACTTTCAGCCCCGCTGCCTCAGTCCCCCTATAACAGAACAGGGAACTGGACCTCAAAGGGCTGATGGGGAAAACAGGATCTGAATAGAGGCGCAAAGGAAAGAGGTCAGGCGGGTGACCCCGGGAGGGCTGGGCGGGGCGGGGTTATCGGTGACCCTGGAGCTGGACGGAGACCTAGGAACCTGGGGCGGAGCTGGCAGCCGGGAGGGGGCGGCGGAGGTGGGAAAACGGGGCGGGGCCGGAAAGGACTCCAGGGCGGGGTGAGGCCAGGCGCCTACACCCAGGAGCTGGGGCGCCGAGGGGCGCCGGCCCCAGGGGTGCGAGCCCGCCGGGTGCCAGCAGCGGTGGGGCGCGCGGCTCGGGGATTGGCGGGCGCTCCGCGGTTCTCGCAGCTCTTCAGCGGAGCCGGGAAGAGCCGCGCGTCTGCGCACCAGCCCCCGCCCGGGGCCCGCCGCCCGCGCTCTCTCGCGCAGCGCTAGCTTCCCCGCGCTCCGCAGCCCAGCACCGACACCCCTGGGCATGAGCGCCCCCTCGACGCTGCCCCCTGGGGGCGAGGAAGGGCTGGACACTGCCTGGCCCCCCGCAGCCAACGCCAGCAGCGCCCCGGCGGAGGAGGAAGAGGTGGTGGCGGGGCGCGGGGGCGCAGGGACGGCGGGCATGGTCGCCATCCAGTGCATCTACGCGCTGGTTTGCCTGGTGGGGCTGGTGGGCAACGCCCTGGTCATCTTCGTGATCCTTCGCTACGCCAAGATGAAGACGGCTACCAACATCTACCTGCTCAACCTGGCGGTCGCCGACGAGCTCTTCATGCTGAGCGTGCCCTTCGTGGCCTCGTCGGCCGCCCTGCGCCACTGGCCCTTCGGCTCCGTGCTGTGCCGCGCGGTGCTCAGCGTCGACGGCCTCAACATGTTCACCAGCGTCTTCTGTCTCACGGTGCTCAGCGTGGACCGCTACGTAGCCGTGGTGCACCCTCTGCGCGCGGCGACCTATCGGCGGCCCAGTGTGGCCAAGCTCATCAACCTGGGCGTGTGGCTGGCGGCCCTGCTGGTCACTCTCCCCATCGCCATCTTCGCAGACACCAGACCGGCTCGCGGCGGCCAGGCCGTGGCCTGCAACCTGCACTGGCCACACCCGGCCTGGTCGGCAGTCTTCGTGGTCTACACTTTCCTGCTGGGCTTCCTGCTGCCCGTGCTGGCCATTGGCCTGTGCTACCTGCTCATCGTGGGCAAGATGCGCGCCGTGGCCCTGCGCGCTGGCTGGCAGCAGCGCAGGCGCTCTGAGAAGAAGATCACCAGGCTGGTGCTGATGGTCGTGGCTGTCTTTGTGCTCTGCTGGATGCCCTTCTATGTGGTGCAGCTGCTGAACCTCTTCGTGACCAGCCTGGATGCCACCGTCAACCACGTGTCCCTCATCCTCAGCTATGCCAACAGCTGCGCCAACCCCATTCTCTACGGTTTCCTCTCCGACAACTTCCGCCGATCCTTCCAGCGAGTTCTGTGCCTGCGCTGCTGCCTCCTGGAAGGAGCTGGCGGGGCTGAGGAGGAGCCCCTGGACTATTATGCCACTGCTCTCAAGAGCAGAGGTGGGGCAGGGTGCATGTGCCCCCCGCTTCCCTGCCAGCAGGAGCCCCTGCAACCAGAACCCAGCCGCAAGCGCATTCCCTTCACCGGGACCACCACCTTCTGAAGAGTCCTCCCCCGACCCGCCCTGCATGGCCACCTCTCAAGGGGCCGGCACCATTCCTACAGCCCCGAAAACTGCATCTCCTTGATGCTCACCTAAGCTCCACCACCTGTTCCTTCCAGCAGCGCATGTGCCAGCTGGGGAGTGTCAGAAGTCTGCTGCTGCTCTCCTCTCCCCAGCACTCTGGCTTTCAGAAGGATGCTTTGGGTAGGACTCCTTGGGAACTGGGCTAGGATATTAATAATTCCTGAACCTCTGGCTGTTCTTCAAGGGCTGGGAAGCAGGAGGTGGTGAGAAATGAATGGCCCCTGTGTGTGACTCGTCACAGCCGCTGCTTTGGAGAGAACTTAAGAGGGTGAAGGCAGGTAGCACCCTTCCTCACTGCAGACGCTCTGCCTTGTGGTGGGAGAACAGCTTGCACAGAAAAGAGGAGGAAGGAAGATGCCCGCAAGTACCTGTCCTCTGTGTCTCTTCCTGGGCTCTTGTTGCTACGTGAGACTTATGTCAACAGAGTGGGACACTTGTTTCTCTTCCCCCTCACTCCCCACCTGGGGAAAATACCTGCTTGCTGTCCCAAGTGCCTCCCTGGGGTGTCCTGGGCTGGGAGCAGTCTACCTGTGAGTAGAAAAGGTTTGGAGAGGCATGGCATGGGGCTTATTGCAAGGCATAAAACCAGGTCAGTAATAACAAAGCAGAGAAGATAAAAACCTCGTCTAGCTTCTATGATGTAATTTTTGTCCCTGATCCTTTGATGTGGGAAAATGAGAACTCATTAAGGCAGCAATTTATACTGTGGTGGTGAGTGGGAGGGGAGCCATGGGCGGGGAAAGAGCAGAGAGCAGCGAGGGATGGGAACCAGCCCAGGTTTTACACAGAGGAGGCAGCGTCATCACCCACTATTTTAGAATGTCATCGTTCAGTAAAACATCAGCCACATTAGATATTAACATGTAAGTTGAACACAATAAGAGGCTGTAACTTTGTTGCCTGATGTGTTAACCAAAGGATAAATCGTCTTTCCCAAGAGGAAAGAGCATAAGAGGAGCTTTAATTCTGCTTTCTGATAAAAGCAGGGGAGGGGGCAAAGGAGAACTTGCAACACTTATGTTAGCATCTGGTGTAACAACAGAGGAACATGTATGACGTGCTGTTTGTGGGGCCCCACCTGGCTTCACATTCAGAGTTAAGCCACCGGCCTGGGTTTAGCTGCCGGCCTGATTCTGGATGACCATTCTGATGGTGTGGAGAAGTTGGTGTGGGGAGGGGGAGACACAGCCAAAGGGCAACACCCTATGCTATTTCGAGTGGTCAGCCTCACAGACCGCTCAGAGAATGCACAGCCAAACTAGAGACATGACTATAAAATGGAAGTTTCAAAACTAAGTCACAGAACCCTGTGATCTTGCAAACACAAGGGAACACACACAGAGACATCAACCATCCCTGATTTTCAGTACCGACCAGGGTTACCTTGGGCATTTAGAGTAAGTCAGTCCCATGACTGTGGGTCTCATGTAACCACAGCTACTTGGAGGTTTTTAAACTGCAGTATTTCTTTGTTCTTCAGTGTCTGACAATGCGTGCCAGGATGGGCACATGATAAATGTGGTTGAATGGAACTGCAGGGACCACCCAGGGTGGTAGCAGTGAGGTGAGGGGTTCACGGCACTGACAATGGTCCCTAGGGCTTCTTCCCAGCTTGTGTGTGGGGATGGGGGTCCTTTCTTTAGTCCCCCAGTGATCAGACTGGGCAAACTCGCTGATAAACAAGGCAGGGCACTGACCAGGAGTCTTGGTAACTCCAGTGCCTGGCTGCCCAGGTTAGCACGGAATAAGACACATTCTATTTAGAAACTTCAACCTTTTTAATGTAGCTGATGAAAGTTGAAGGTGAGGCAGCTTCAGGTGATGGAAAGAAAAATCTCTGAGAGGCAGGAGATCTCAGTCTCAGCTACTTTGTGAGCAGTGATTTAACCTCTTTAAGCCTCAGTTTCACACTTGAAATAGGCACCAAGGGAGGTTTCAAGTTTCGAGCTCTTCCCGGCTGTAAACTCTGTTTTGGCAGAGATGCTGGGGAGACACGTGAGTCAGACAGTGGAAGGGTAGGAGGCAGCACGCTCTCTGCCTAGTCTTCTTTCCATCACTGCTGATAAATGAGTGTGAACACTGCCCTTGACCCTGCAATCATGTCATGCAGGTGGTGGCTGGGTGGGGGTGGGGGGTGATCCGATCGACTGCTCTGTTCTTTAACTTCAGGGCCTTTTCAATTCCTGGCAGCAGCAAGGCACCTGAGCACTCGTCAGAGCTGCGTTTGGAGCCCGTCAGCAGTGCTGCCAGCTTTACTTCCATCAAACCCAGGTTTTTGTAGCAACCAGTTGAGTGAAACCCTTCCTTGTAGTTTGTGTGCAGAAGATTTCAGTGAATTGAAGTCATGAGCCATACAGCCAAGGTCCTGAGAGCCGTTGACCTATGTCACCTGCTTGGGAGGCTTGCTTTGATGGTCATCTCGTTGTGCCTGCTAAGACCAGGAGTCACAGCTTTTGACATCAATGTGAATAAAAACATTTCCTGCCAAAGGTAGAAACAGACTTTGCTCATCCCTCCACCCATCAGAGATCTTGCTGTTTCTTTTTAAATTGCCTTTAATTTACTGTTCCACGGCAAGCCAGGTGTTACATGTTCCCAGATGATCAGGAAGATGGTAATTGGATGTGACAAGCTGTCACTGAACAGGATAACTGCCCAGTTTGCTCTGATCTGTGAGCAAAGATGCATATGCCTTTCACACTTGTCTGTGAAGTCTTGGCTTCACCTTCGTTAAAGTCATCATAGCTGGCATTCCTTAGGTGCTAGAGGTGGATGCAAAGGGTCGACTGACTGCCACATGTTTTGGCGGCACTGCCTCAGAAACCAGATTCACTGCCTCAGACGTGAATCCTAGCAAAGGTGGCCATTGACACTCTTCTCTGAGAGGTTGGAGGTAGTGAACCACCCCTATCTACCACATTCTCATGCAGTAAGTAGATGACAGCATAGCCTCCGATTCCTTAAGAACGAATGTCAGAATCCTAGGGCTGCATTTTCTGAGACAGCTCCGCTATGGTGTACACCGTCAGCCAGCAGCACACCCTGGAAACTGTCCTGCTGACCTGTGTGCAGTTGGGGATACATGCGGACAGTTCGCTGAGTGCTTCTCTCGGGTGGTGCAGCCAGTTTTGAGGCAACACAGAGAGTCTACACAGGCAGCTTCTGCCTTCATGGAGCTCAGACACTAGTGGCCAAAGACAGGCGTTCATCAAATAAGCACAGAAATGAGGGTGCAGTTCTAAACCTAAGTAAGCACTCTACAGTAAAGGAATCTGCCTTCTAAGAGATGATGATAAAGGAAGCTGCCCTTGACTCAGAGCAGGCTTCCCCCAGGAAAGCGGCTGGAGATGACCTCCTCTGAAGGGTACCGATGCATTAACTAGGAGAGGAAGGGGCGGGGCACGGGGTGTTCCTGTAGGCTGTAAGCAGCGGGAGCAGCATGTGCAAAGGGCGTGCAAAAACAAAGCAGAGTAGTAACAGGCACAGAAGGGCTCAGTGTGACCAGAACACGGACCACAGGGGTGTTTGAGGCTCTGGCAAGCATTTAAGCAGGAGCCCAGCATCTTCTATGCCACCTCAAAGATGAGGACTTTGCCCTAAGAGCCATGTGTCAGCGGTGGCAGGCTCTAATGAGGGGCTTGGGTCTGTCTGGCAAGAGAAGCCCATCAAAAGCTCTGGGGTCCTTGTGAAATTGAGGCTCGCACGCCTCCATCTTCAGGGAGGGTCTGGCAGGATGATCATGTCCTTCTTTCCAACTTTCATCAGCTTTGTATCAACTGAAAGGCAGGGTCCTGATCCTGTGAAAGAATTGACTTGAGTGTCTAACAGTGGGGCCACTTTCTGGAATGGGGGAGAAACAACATAAAAAAAAATCCTAGGTCATTAACAGTGTTGCCTAGAATGTGAGTATTAACTTTCTACACATGAAAACATGTGGCTTTCTATTGTCAATAGACACCATGCGCATCCACCTGCTGCATCATAGGACTTGAAATGACTGGATTCCTGGGGCTCTATCTCTGCCTGCAGAGTGAGGCTGCCTAAGGTCAGCACTCACCCAGTGTGGACACATGGCAAATGGGGAGAGGGAACAGACTGAGAGGCACACAGACTGGGCAGATGAGTCCCAGCTCTCCCACTTCCAGCCCACAGTGGCCCGGAAGGGCTGCGTGACTGTGGGGAGGTCAGAGCCGCATTACCCCCCTGCGGGTGTGCAGTGACGCACAGGGGCTGCATTCCTGGCCCCGGGGAGGAAGGCTCACCATTCAGATGGTGACTGCTTCATGACACAGGAGGGGGAAGAGGGAGTTGGTGCAGAGTTAGGTGTCCTCTTTTTCATTTTTTTTTTTAATCAGGCCTTCATTAGTATTCTGTGGAGGCTGTAATTTCTTTTTAATCTATTTTTAATTGAAGCATAATTTACTCATGTTAGAGTGTTCTCTTTTTAGTTCTACAGTTCTATGAATTTTGACATGCAAATTTTTACATTTGAGTAGCTGTTGCCCCAATCATGATAGGGACTGTTTTGGTCACCATCCACTTCACTCTTGGTGGCTGTGATTTGTGGCTAAGCACAGAAATGAGGGTGCAGTTCTAAACCTAAATAAGCACTGTACAGTAAAGAAATCTTTACAGGACACAGATAGCATGGGGAGGACCTGAGGGCGTACAGAATTGGAGATGGTGCTGTCCCATCTGGTGGTCCCAGGAAGGCCACCTGATTATACCATTTCTCAAGCTCCTCCCCCCAGACTATGAGACCTCAATCAATTTACAGAGGAAGCTGCCGCCCTCTCGACCTTCTGGATGTGAAAAGAAGTGTCCTGCACTCCAGACACCATCCGGACGAACTATGGGGTTGAGTATGTTCCTGGGCAAGCTGCTAGTTCCATAGTGACTTTGTTATCCTTCACTCCACGCACTGGAGAGAGGGTATGGATGCCACTCCTAGCTTTCTGCCCATCAAAGAGAGCAGACTGTCCTCCAGACCCAGCCCCTCCCAAAAACCACCATTTCCATTTGCTGCAGCCTCCAGACAGCTTGCTGCTGGGCTTGTGTTGCTCTCTTCATTTTGGTTCGTGTTTATCATTTCCTGTGAGGCCATATCCTGTGCTCTGGAGAGTCTCAGACAAATTAAACAGTGAAACTGGGAATGCCCCATGTACTCCTCAGACTTTCCATTCTCCTGGCACTGCCATTGGGTTTCTGCAGTGCTACCTTTTAGGAGGGGGGGAAAACACGTGAAGAAAGACTACAGTCAAACCCTGGCAAAGGCTTACTAAAAATGGTGATTTGGGATCATATGAGCATTTCAGAACACATTTGTTAAAAGAAGGGGGCAAGGAACAAGGCTTCGGATCTCCAGAGTTCCTGGAAAATTTAATTCCATGTTCTCAAAGGAATTAAATCAAAGCAAGGCAGGAGTCAGAGGGAAAAGGGGAGGAATTCGGGAGAACGTTGAAAAGCCCCTCTCCGCCTTACCAAGTGGAACACAGGTTTGCTGGACGACAGTGGGGTGAGTTCGCATTTAGGGACCGCATCAGTGAGAAACCAGAAAGCTTTGAGACAGGCAGTTTCAGAAGCTGTGTTGCCAAGCATTGAATATGCAGAAGATAAGTGAGTTTTGTCTCAGGATAAGATCTGTATAAAATTTCCTTTTTTAACAGAAGATTTCCGTCAGGAAGAGATTCAAAAAAACACCTGGCCTGCGGCCCAGGTGGCATAATTGTCGCAGACCCCAGCTTTGACTCTTAATGTTTCCCATTGGATCCCTGAAACCCTCCGCTGTCTGTGTGTCTTGCACTGTCTCCATTGGGCGTGACCTCGAATTAACCCATCCCCAGGGTTCTTTTGTCTTTCACAATCACACTTTCAAAACACTGAAAACAATTTCGATCCTGTTAGAGTCTCATGTTAAAACAACATTGAGTTTCTCTTGTGAGAGGAAATCAGTTGTTTGCCTATATCTGAACCTGATAACCAAAAAAAAAGGAGGAAAGGAACACTCAAAACAAAAAGAGATAGCAGTGAACCCAGGGCATTCACTCTGGAAAAGAAAGAAAGAAAGAATTGGGTGTTGCCTGTATTGTTTTATGAAGAAATGCCTCTGAAGATCAGGCGGTGTATTTTGGGTACCCGCCGCTGAGCTACATAACCATGAAGAAAATGTGTTTTCATGTATTCTTTGCAACCTCAGTTTTCCTTGAATAGATGATATAATAAGGAATTGCATTCAGCAGAGAACAGAAGGTGTCTCTGGAAGGTAGAAGGTGAGGCTCTTCTGTCCCCTGGCCCCATCCACGACCATACTGTCACTGGAAGGACTGTCACGCCAGGAACCTCCCCGCGTAGCCCCCGATAGGAGGCCTGGCTCTGCCGGGGCCAGAGCTGTTTCTTTCTCCTTTGGGCCCTAAGAAATGGTGCAGAGCACTCTGGAGCATGTTCTTTCTCCTCCGAGCCTCCCTGGGAGTCCAACGGACAGAGGCTCTGCCCCCTGTATTTGACTAGGCTTTGTGAGTAGGGAAAACAGACCGGAGCCTTCGAAGCTGGATTTTACAGTGACTGAGGCTGGAGGTCACTTCTCGCCTGGTACAAAAATCTCCCCATTTAAGCTATGATGGATGCCTGCAAATCCAACATTACGGCTCCTCCAGCATTGACAACATCAGGTCCAAGTGACTGCGTTTTCCCTTGATGAAACAGTTTCCACTTTACGAAAACTTGAGATTACCCCTAAGACACTCATGACTGCAACACAGCTTTTTTCTGCACCCATTTATGCATCTACCAGTTCACTGGCACAGTTATTGGGCATCTACTATGGGCCAGAAACTGAGCTTACTGCCTCATCTAATCTCTTCGGAAACGTTGTGAGGTAGCTCTACATGCACCCTCCCACAGTCTTCAAAGGGTGACGTGGTGCCCACGGCCATGTAACCAGCAGGTGTTAGGCTGGGATCACATCCAGGCGGTACCCTGCCCACACCACGTATTAGCCCTGTGGGGTGCTTACAGCAGAAATCGTGCAGTTTCTGCCCAAGGGGACATGTAAATATGTCTAGAATTAGTTATCGTCTTCCCAAACAATGCAGTACATAAATTGAATCCCCGCATGCTGTTATCAGAACTCCTTGAGTACCCCCATTTGGACCTAGAACATTTTTCAATGTCATTCTTTCAAAGTCTTCCTTGCAGTGTCTTTGACTTCCAACCCTACAGTCCTCTCCTGCTGCCTGTGTCTTTCCACCTCTCGGCCTCCCTTGCAGCCAGCAGCACCTAGTTCACTATGCCCAGTGCGCTTAGCCAGGGATCTTCCCGGTGCAGCGCCGTCTCATGTACAGCCCTTCCGGCCTGGACTGCTCCCTCTCCGGTGTGCATTTGACAAACCCCTCCCTCCCCTTCAGGTCTGCTGTTGTGTCATCTTGTCCGGGAAGAGCCCTCCAGTCCTTCACTCTAAATCCTGTCTCCCTCTTGTGCCGTTGCAGAGTATGCTGTGCTTGTCTTCCCCTGCACTTATCACTGATTCTAAGTGAAGTACAATTTGGGGGTGATTGGAAATTGACTTCTGTTTACTTTATAACCGAAGACTAGAAAACATAAACAAAAGAATACTTGAATGCTGGCTTATCCAGAAATACTACCTTGGCTTTCTTGCCCCGGCCTCTCATGCTGTGAAATATCACAGCAACTGGTCTCTGGGAGCCTCCCTTGGACCTGGATGTCAGATGATGTGAACAGAAAGCAGACTGCACAGGTTGATCCCATGGCTCTGGTTTCATAAAGTCTACACTGATTGTACATGCGGGGGGGATAGTTTGTAAAGCTAACTGATGTGATGTGTTTATGTGGTCCTGGCATCTTTCTCTGAGAGGCACTGTGGCTATTTAGCTGTTTTGAGAATTTCAAGTTCAGATGAGACCTGTAAACAACCATCGATCCCTCAGGCAGTAGGAAGTGAGGCGGACAGGGAAGCTCAGGGCCCCAAACAACTAATGTCCTAGGTTTTTGCTCAGGACATGAAGGGTTTTTGCCTCTGGGTTTTGAAATTGTGCTTTGGTCTTCCAGTGTCCCTTAAGAAGATGCCCCTCTTCTGGAATGAGAAGAAATCCTAACACAATGAGCCCTTGAAAGTCAATTTGACAGTGACTGGGAGCTGATCCTCTTGAAAAATAGAAGGCTGGGTATCAGGAGCAAATTGTAAGGTGTCACTGTCTCCTCTGGTCTCCAGCCCCGTTTATCTACAACTGTCCTGTCCCTCCTTGTGTAGCTCTTCCTTCACAAAGACTTAGTCTACTCCTTAGGGGGAGCTTGTCTCAGCTTGCTGTCTCCATAGGGCACTGTGCATAGCAGCTGCCCCAGCACACACACACACACACACACACACAAAGTCATCACTGCATCTGTGATGGATGCCAAAATCTCCAACCCTGCTTTCACAATAGCCACACAAACTAAAACTCAAAAATTTGGCATTATCCAGGCATATAAAGCATTTGAATGTTTGCCTGGGCTTTATTTTCTTTTAATTTTTTCTTTAAAAACCCTTTCTGAGCCCTGCATATTGCATTGAGCCAGCCCTACCATCCTAGGAAAGTGAGCCCAAGAAATGTGTGCATTGAAAAGGCAATGTTTTTAATCTCCAACAGAGATGGGAATGATTTCATACCTTTAGAAATGAACACTTGAATTAGAGCCACCAGCTGAGATCCTTCATGACTACATTGAATTTGGATATCTTGCAGAGCAGATAATGCCAAACCATACACAGGACACACAGCTGGGATTCACCAGTTGCCCCAGGAAGGGTTTATTTAATTCATTCCAACAAATGATCCTGTAATGTACTAAAAAGCACAGAAAACAAGTCCTCATATATGAAGTTGTTATGGTTACAGAAGGAAATAAATAAATATTTGTGCATACGGAGATAGCATGAAGTCGTTCTACAGTGAAAGTAACAGCCTCTGGAAAGAACTTTGAAAATCAGAGAGGGTGCCATCATCAGACAACACGAGTGCTGGGGTGCAGGGCAGCCCTTCATGCGTCTCACAGCATTTGCATGGTTTAAAATGAGGGAACTAGGGAAGGAAAAGTGAACAGACACACAACCCAAGAGCACATTGTAATTTGTTTATTTTGTACACGTGATGTCATAGCAAGGGTTTTGCCTGTGTTCTAGTTTATCTCCAACAAATAAATAACTATGTACAAATATGTTGAGTTTATAAAATAGAAGACGAAAATCTTTGTCTTACAAAAGATACATTTCTATGATACATTTGTTTCCATACACTGAAGCAGGATTTCCTTCCTAGCTTAGTTGAACCAAAGGCCTTGCAGATCCTGTGTGGCAGTGTCTAGAGATGTGTACCTAGTCTTTTCTACCAGAGAGCAAAGCTATGCAATAAAAATTCCTCAGTTTCTTGAAAATAAGGGCCTGACTTGGCCTGCTACTTATAACTGATCCATATTTAATGTATTCCAGAAAATTGGAAGCAGTCTGGAACCACTGGCCTCAAATTACTGAGCAGACTCGTCCCCTGCTGATCTTGTTAAATATAGATTCTCATGAACTGGATGGGGTAGGGCTTAGGATTCTGCATCTCTAATCAGCTCCCATGGGCAGCTTCCAATTCTTTTTCAGGGGCCACATTCCAAAAGACCCTCTGAAATGGCAGAAATTCTCTGAGGACCTGATTAAGGCTAAAATCTATTCCCAAGCTCCCTTCCATAAGACCAGTAGAGCTGGTTTTATTTAGGTCTACCAGTGACAAGAACAGTGAGAGACAATTACCAACTGGCGTGAATCATGAGGCTCAAAACTTTCTTAAACTGTCTCCTGGAAGGTGCCTGTCTCTTCTCTCAATCCAGAGCAACCTTCCTAACATTTTCAACACTGTCAAAAGTAAGTAATAATAACAAAAAAGGAAACTACATAAGAAAATTAGCAACAATTACCATTTTCAGTACAAATCAAAGCAACCACAAAGTTCAGGCTCACTGTTTAAAAAAATAAAGATAAAAACCCCTTTGGGTGTAATTTCTATGACAGTCTAGCAACATTAATTTAATGCATTTTACATCTCAACCTTTGTTTAAAATTATTTTGCACCGAGAACCTGAAATTTCAGGATAAATTAGCAAATCTGGTGAAAAAGCAAACGGCCGTTGTTACTTTTAGCGCTTTTGTTTCTGTTTCATGTGGGAGTTCTGTCTGAGCAGACAGCTACGGGCAAAAGAAATAGGGTCGGGCACAGGTAGGATGACACAGGTAGGGCGACTCAGGTGAGCTGGCCCAGTTCCCGAGAGGAGAAAACTAGGAAGAATGGCGAATAAATGGGGCTTGCTTCATAAATGTGAAAGGGCTAGAAAAAATTCACTAAGATAGTTTATCTGCCACATGGCAAGTGGGAGTTGTAGAGAGAGACGGGAGAGGTGTGCAAAGGATACTGGAGACATATAAGTCGGAAAAAAGGAAACAAATAAAAGCCTAAATACTTTAAAAAAATAAATATTTTGCTCATCCCTAGCCCACGAGGTCAAGGTCTGCCCAAAGGGCCGCCAACCAATAACGCTCACCCTCCTGCGCCCAGTGGTGAGGAGCTGGGACACTCGCAGTCTTTGTCTTCGTCGTAAAATCGTCATCTCTGCCCGGTGGTCCAGTGACGTCATGGAAGGGGCTGAGGCTCAGCTCCCTCTAATCACCCCCTCCCCATTTAGGCATGAAATCGGAGAACACGGCTTGGTGGGGGCGGGGCGGGCCTTCTCCAGCGGTAATCCAGCTAAGGTGCTGTGGGTAGCTGAGTGGAGTACAGCTGAGGGTGAGGAGGCACAGGAGCGAGAGGAAGGCCACGCCAAAGCCGGGCTCCTGGACCGAGGTCGCTCAGAGTCCCTGCGGCGTCTGCTCGGTCCGCACGTGCTGCAGCACTACCTCCTTGGAGGGGGCCGCGCACTTGTACTCCATCTTGGCCCTGGTGGCACCCTGCTTCTT